GTTTCTGCAGAGACTTATTTAGAGACAGCTGTGGTTTCTGCATGTTCAGGCTAATATTCCAAAATGATTTTTATCTGTTTTATTATTTGTTACTCATCATATGTAATAGCACTTCATATCTAAATACATTAAACAATACATATATAATCTGTTCATAGAAACATAAATGCAACTGAGAGGTGCTGAGGGGCAAATCCATTTATGGTACTTGCTTTCTCACAAGCTTTACCTTTGCACTCCTACTTAACTCTCAGACCGTCATCCCTGAGCTATCTGTGTCTGTTCCTAATGGACACAGCACACACAAACACACACACACACATACATGTAGAAACACACACAAACAATAAAGACTAGACCTACTTCCTTAAATATGGCCCTGCTCTTTATAAGATCTGGGTGGGCTCATCTCTGTATCCTTTCTAATCCTTGCCATGACCTCTGTCCCCACTCATACAAACACAGCGGTGGGGTAACTACATTTCCTAACACACAAAATATCCCTGATAAAATGAAACAAAAAAAGAGAGCACATTTTCATAAAATGCCAAACATTGGTAAGAAAAACAAAACATGCCACCTTCTTCCCAAAAAGTTGATTCTGTTCATCTGGACGTAGCGATTCGAACAGAATCAAGTTTTTGGGATTGTCTTACCTGGATGATTGAGCATGCATCAAAACATCTCACTTTCTTACGTTGCTGCGTGATCACGTAACATAACGAATTTACCAGTATGCCAGAGGAACAATGAGGACTGATTATGTGGAATCTGCTCAAATTGTGCAGAAAGGTGTCATATCTAATTCCTTTTGAAACCACGAGGCCTGTGAGTGCTGATGTGGTTGCCCTATGATGGATGGGCCTTCCCCTGGGGTAGCTGATGTCTTTTGGTTTTACTGTAAATGTTTACATTCCTACTTGCACTGATGCTATCTGCTAATAGTTTCTGGGACAAGCCTGAGGAGTCCTCTGGGTGGGATTATTTGCTGTGTGTGTGTGTGTGTGTGTGTGTGTGTGTGTGTGTGTTTGTGTGTGTGTGTGTGTGTGTGTGTGTGTGTGTGTGTTGTGTGTGTGTGTGTGTGTGAGTGAGTGTGTGTTTGTGAGACAGAGGAAAGAGAGAGGAAGAGAAAGACAGAGACCAGGTCAAAGGGAAGCAGATCTGTCTTTATACTTGGGGATTAACCATGACCCCTCTCTTTCCTGAGTCCTGGCCTGTGCCTCCTTGGGGGGGGGGGCAGCGCATTAACAGCACCTCACTGCTGCTCCAATTTTCTTCCCAAAGCAGAAAAAGACATTTGGCTGTCTCTGACAGTACAGTCAACAACTGGCACACTCGTGAGAGGGCAGCCTCTCCCAGTCTCAGTGTGGCGTGAGCTCTAAATCCGTTCATTTCACCGAGAAGTCTCGGTGCCAACAACCGTTATGTGACCGTGGTATTGTTAAATCAACAAGGCCCTTAAGAAAATAATTCCTATTGCAATAGGCGCATCGGAAATGCATGCATAATTGCTGCTCAGGAGCCTTGTGAGAATGCTCTGTCAATAGATCTGTATCTTAAAAACGCAGCCTAGCATGGATTATGTGAGGACTGCCATTCCTGTGTTGCACACTACAGAGGCAGCCCCACCCTCAAGGCATTCCTCTGCAACATAAAAGACAGCAGGTAATTACCTGTTTCCACTGCCATTATTAAGTGTTATTTAAATCTGCTATTAATACTCTGTTAAGTTGTGGGAGCTGGTGCGAGTGATTGTTCAAAGAGGCGGACAAACACGTTCTTCTGCACCGCTGTCTGGTCGTCTCTTCCCTTTCTTTCACTCTCTCTCTGCTGTCTCCGGACGTGCTCGCGAGGAGACACAAAAACAAAGCACAACTCAAAATGTTTATATACTTAAGCATCGCATTTAGAGTAATGTTTCATAGCTCAGTGGACTACTGGCTGGAGCACATTCCCGGGCACAAATGCTCTTAAAGAAGTGATAAAGGATGTGACCATAGAGTGATTCACTGCAGTGATAATAAAGAATGGATAAGAGCTGTTGTTTCCGGTTTTGTACCTGGAACGAGTTTGAATTTCTTATCCACAGAACATCTGACCTACCCAGAAAACGGTGGCAAGCACTTCTAAACAATTGTTGAACTTTGGTGATAATAGTGAAGCTGGTACGATGGTTACGAATCAAGGAGCTATCAGATAATGACAAAGGAGTGCGGAGATAGTTTTTTTTTAACTCCCCAGTGTATAATTTTAGAAGTGGAGCAGTAAAAGGAGTCATTAATGTAATGAGTTGTGTTTTACAGATGCCATAATGACAGTTATGGAGCTCAATAGCTGACGGTGATCAAAAAATTCTTAATTTGATGCTACCTGTTGGGTAAACTCATGGGTGTCAATTGCACATTCTGTCAATGACGGTGTTTAAAGTGATACTGAGTAAGCGATGCCTATGTTATGGTTATCTTAGTAAAGCATGCACTAATTGCTACTTAGGCCACAATCGTCTGGAATGGGGTTTAAAATCCTTGCAGAGATCTCTATATTTACTCCATCAGATAATTTAAAAGAAATAACCATGCAGTGTAACCAGCTGCTTTTCCAGTGATTATCTTATCCCACAGATGAACTTCAACTCTTCCCTCTTGAACTGCTGACAAGTCTCTACCATGTAAGTGCACTGGGTTCCTCGGTATCTTAGCCAGATCTAGCCCTTGCTCATCTCATCCAGTTTCAGTATTGTATTACAATTATGAGATCTAGGATGCTTGCATTGGATAACCAATGTGATGTTACCAATGGCTGCCATCATATACCTCTGTATAGATCTGTTTAGATCAGAATATGCATATATTCAGTCAACAGGAGTCTTGTTCTGCCAAAGGTTTTCTTTGTTTTTTCTATTAAACGGGAGTTTTACCTTCCCACTGTCACCTTGTGTTTTCTCATAGGGGATCATCAGACTGTTGGGGTTTTTGCTCTAATAATTTATGGTCTTTAACTCGCAGCATTAAGGGCTTTGAGGTGTCTGTTGTTGTGAATTGGTGCTACATAAACAAATGAACTGAAAAGCCTCTCCAGAGCAGAACAAGGACTACCGACACCAGCTGCCAACACCAACTGCAGAGTCGACACCAGATCCTCTCTGAAGAAACAGATGAATGACATGGAAGAGCTCCTCGATAGCACACAGGCTGGTAGGAAAAACACAAGATAGCGAGGGCTCGGGGTAGCTGGTTAATAATAAGTGAACACTCAAAATAAGAGCAGTGGGATTGTCCTTTAGGAAATCATTGCATTTTATGTGAAAAATGCTAAAATGAGACGCCAGTTGCGCCACTCAAGCAAGGCTTTGTGTTTAAAACACTGATGTATAATAGACTGTATATAAAAATGGGAATCAGCTACAGTAGTAGTTTAAGTATTATTAATATGCTCAGGGTAAGATTTTTGCATGGGTCACTACACACATTCAGACACCTGGAAATTAATTCACATAAAAACTACTAATTAACATATTACTAGAAATTAACTTAATGTACTACATTGTTTGCAGTAAAAGCCTTAAAATGCTCCAAAAGTATCACAAAGACTGTGAGCAGCTTCAGTTGTAGATCTCCAAATTCAGTTAAAGCATCCACAGTCCTGATGCCAGTTAGCATTACCACAGCTACTGTCACAGATGACACTTCCTATGTTAAGTGCAAATCTGCTGAAATAAGTGCCAGCAGCCGAAGCAGCATTGCAGTGCAATAATGGTAACACAGACTTATATCCAGGGACACGGTATGAGTCAACTGTGAGCACAAAACTAGCCTAGGTAAGTGTTTTCTCTGGGAATTTGAAGTAAAAAGTATGAAATAACCGTACAACACTTTAGTTTAACAATAACTAAATAATAAATCAACTGAACCTTGCAACTCTTCAGGAGCTGCACAATATTGTCATAAAACCGAAAAATATTTTCTACCTTGCATCTTGTATCTTGGGTTACGTTTTTTAACCAGCTGCTTAAAGCTCTGGTTTTCCATGGTGTAACCATTACCAGTAATTTTGTCCTTTTTCATAGCCTGGTTATTCTCAGCCCTGTTTTTTGATGAAACATATTTGTTTTGTCCACCTTTAGCAGGAGATTTTTTTTCCTATGCTTTTCAGAATTCTGTGCTTTGTTAGAATTTGCTGAAGCAGCTTCCTTTTTGGGTAATAAATCATTAATGGTGGTGACATACGGCTCCTGCTCTCAGACATGCCTGGGCTTATCTCAGTGTTGCGTGCACTAGGACATGGCAGTACAATACCAATGATATCATGACATGGCATTTTTATACCACATAAAAATTTATGCTGGTATTGTTGTTATGATATGGCACCGAGCTAAATCCATGCTCGGAATTATGTTCACCATGGTGATGCAGTGGTTAGCACTCTCACACCTTTTTGCATGTTTGCATGTTCTCCCTGTGCCTGCATGGGTTTCCTCTTGGCACGATTCAAAGACAAGCATCTTAGGTTACAGATTAAATATGGTGAAATGCAGCTCAGGCAGTCCATTTCCATGAAAAAACAAACAAACAAACAAACGATATTTTGATAATTACTACAGTGCATGGATGTAATCTCACTAAATACAGAACCACTGAACTGACCTGATAAAACTAGTAAGGGCCAAGGTCAATCCAGTAATTGAAGTTCATTCTGAGGGGACATGAACATTGGCATTTTATTTCCATTGGTGATCTTTTCCATTGTTTTTTTTTTAAGTTAATCAGGTGCAAATAACATTACCAGGTTGACCCAACACTGACCTAACCTTCTTAATATAGTATATCATTTACATGCTGCTTTTACAATGCAAATAGAGATGATGCATGTGTTTACTTTTAGTTTTGCATTCATATAGGGCAGTTTACATATTGTGGATAAACCCCTGACTGGTTTTCTAACCTCTGTGATGTCTGACTGCTTGTGCTCTTTTTTTCCCTTTTTTTCCCTTTTTTTGGGGGGGGAGGGGGCACCTTGAACTTTGAATGGTAGGTACAGCTCCCAGCAGCTCAGCAGTGTCTTTGATGGAGACAATGTCATAATGTAAAGTAAGGTAAATTGACCTTTTAGCTGAAGCTCACCTGTGAATGAGTTTTAACTGGTGTTAAAACCTTAAACTTATCCTTTGTCGCAGTCTCCTTTCACCGTGCCTGTTTTGTTGTCTGTGGGTGGAAATTTACACGAGTGTGACGCATCACAGAATAGGTGCAGGAAAAGAAAAACTCTTATCTTGTCACGGTAGAAAGCTCTGACTAGACCAACTATTTACCAGCACAATGTGAATAATCAGAGCACATAGAAAGTGGCGTACCGTGGCGCAACAGTGTTACACCCTGACCTTTTCTGCTGAAAAGTGTTGTTTTTTTAAGTCTTTAAAAGCAAGTGTGCGCAAATGAAAATAATTTATCTGTGAATTATGGTTAGACATCGAAAAGAAGATGTGTTTTTCCTCCCACCCTGAAACCTGCTGCGCACAGTGCCAACCACTTACTGTAGTCTGAAGTGCTGTTTTGATACAAGAGATAGATGGGGTTTGGGCTGGAGCCAGAGTGCAGCAAAAGGTGATCATCTCTGCCAAAGCTGCCTGCGTTGGGAAAAGGGAAGCTGAAGCACTGTTACATCCCAGTTCTTTGATGTCTCTTTAATGTTGTAGTACTGTAATGATAATATTGTTTAGGATTATAAAGACAGGACACTGCGGTGCTTTTTAGACCTTGCAAACCTTTTGTAACCCTGCAGTGTCAAGGGGATCAGTAAACATGTTACATAAACTGTATCTTTTTTAAATATTATTCCTGGGGGAAGATAAATTATTTTATCTGACCATCCTTTCTCCACCATCTGCAAGCTCCTTTGATAAAACACAGGCCTAGATGTTAACTCCCTCTGGATGGTAAATGCAATCAGTTAAAAACCAAACTAAAATGCTGGTCCCCTTGTATAGGAATTACATTTTTTCCTATGGCGTCTGATCACTGTGCCGTTCCTTGAGAGTGATGATGAGGGTGTAGTCTTTTCAGTAAAGCATGATTAATGTGCACTGTCTTGTGCAGCCTGGCTCCATGGTGCAACATCTCCACGGTCTATTAACCATCTCTGACTAGTGCAGCACATAGTAGAGAGCACACCTATGCAGAAGGATTAAGAAACCCCCCCACAATTTTTGTATAAAACAACAGCAAAGATTCTTCTTCCTAATATCACGTAAAGGTTTGTGCAATGCTGAAATGTTAGAGGAGGAAGTCAGCCAACTAGATGAACACCCATTTCCAAACAGACACTTTAAAAGCATAAACTCTATCCGTGTGAGATACAGAATGTTAGAAGTACATTCGTGTGAAGAAGCCTTATTGCTTTCTAATCTGTTGCTTTAGTACCGTGCAAAAGAAGAATGTCTTCTTGCAGGTGTTAATGTTAAGTTTCACGATCAATAAAGGTGTCCCATAAATAAAATAAATGCCCACTAAAAGTGTCAGAGGCCTCGGTCAAGCTTCTCACACATCAAGATAAGCTACTTTCTCTTGTTGGGTTTGTATAACTTCCAGATTCCTTTCTGCTCTGTCTGGTCGCTCACAATGAGCTGTTGCTGGCAGTCATGGGGGAAGAAGAAAAAAACAACATATATATCATCCTATGAACTTGTGAGAAACCCAGTCAGCACTTCATTTTAAGACACTGCAGAGATGACCCCATCAAATTTCTAAATTGCATTTAAGATATTGTGCGCCATCTGACACCGTAGTATAGGTATGAGGTTAAATATGACAACAGAACCTACATTATTTATATTTTATTTTCATCCATATCCTTATATAGATATTAAAAAACACGGTTCTTATATTTATCACTGTTGTGACCTTGATTTGATTATAAAAACCCCGAATAAAAATCTTCATATAAAAACATGGAGTATTTGAGATGGTGCATCATGGAGAAAGGGGTGATCTACAAATCTGTTGCAGACATAATGGGTTTTTTTTATGAACAGAAAGAAGAACTCAGAGTAAAGAAAACTTTTAGGGTCGTGAGAGAAATAATTTCTCCTATAGAATTATTTGAATAAGTTCAAACTTTCATGATTTCCACCGTCAACACAATGAAAATGATTTGCTTTGTTGTATTTCTTTTCTTTTCTTTTATTAATCCCACAAGAAAAGGTTGAAATATAACATTGTAGTTAATAATTATTTTTTTTTTACTTTTGAAAGTTTTGAAATAGAATTCATAAAATCACTTTTTAAAAAGTTAAAAGAAATATTTAAAAGTCATGATCCTGGCCAAAGATATACCTGTCACATAAGAGGTTTGAAGAAATCAGTAGTATTTCCCTTTAAAATGTTTTTTTTCTAACTTGCAAATAGTTACACAATATGAAACTGACAAAATATTAAACTACATTACTTATTCCGATTTAAAAATGGAGGATTTTCTGTATAAAATGTCCAATTACATCGTAAAATCCATCGAGTCAGCAGAAACCTCCTAAAGAGCAGAACGCTTGCATTTGAAGCGACACTTGTTGAAAACAGTTTTGCTTCTTTGCTTCGGAGCCTCAAAGCATCCCTCCACAAAACATGTCCATGTTCCAGGGTTGGTGGTAGTAGTAGTGCAGGTACGGGTAGTACTGATAGCCCCGGTACAGTGGCACAGTCATGGGGATATGTACTCCAATCCCCTGGTGGTATTGCTTTTGATCGTCCCGCACCAGAACTTTTACAGCCACTTTCTTTGGGGAGCTGCATACGACCATTTCGGTCGCCATCTGGCGACGTTTGGTTTTATATCTCCGGTTCTGGAACCAGATTTTCACCTGGGTCTCTGTAAGCTTCAAGGCTCCTGCCAGATCGGCCCGTTCGGGACCAGAAAGGTACCTTTGATTGCTAAAACGGCGCTCCAGCTCGTGGACTTGAGCGTGAGAGAAGGCCGACCTGGTGCGCTTCTTTGCACTGGGCCTGCACTGCTGCGCGTCCGGCGAACAGCTGGAGGTCTCCCCGCCGCGGTTACATCCCTCCTCCTCTGCACTCTCGCACTGCAGTCTTTTCTGCTGTTCGCCCTGCTCCTCACACTGCTCCTGGTCATCTGCAGCGACTGAAATAAAATATAAATCCGTGAACACAAGTAAATGTGCTGCCTCTGTACGTCAGGGTGATAAAGCACAAGGCCCCTGTTTTTTGCTGATAGGTCATTCCAACAAGGTGCTGATGCTGGCCAATATGACAGTTTTCTATTGTATTTCTGTCATGATATTAAAGTTAAGGGATGTACCTGAATAAATACTTTGAACAAGTTTAAACAAATCCCACAGATTTCCACGACGCAGTGTTATAGTTTTTATTTTCCCACAAGCGATGTGCTCTTTACGCACAAAAAAGTCACATGGGGCATGAATAAATAGATACAAATTCTTGAGACAGTAATAATTACACTGTAGTTAGTTAAATTACACATCGATGTATTTTTATGGGGGAAATAATACACAGTTCTTCAATTTAAACACACGGTAACGGGATTTTTTTTCTATTGTGAAAACGGTTTCTTATGCAAAATAAATAACTCGATAAAGTGATTATGGCGTGAAACACATTCGAGTTTTGTGATGAATGTTTATGTTCCTTCAACATGATGCTTTGTGCAAATATAATTTAGATGAGAACGCCTACACACCAGTTTAAGATTTTTTTTCCCGATACTCTTTACAGATGTTAAAAAAAACCCACCTTCTATGAGCTCTGACTCTTCTCCTGTGTCCTCCTCTGTAGAAACCTCCGATTGGGCGCTTATAACGCGGGGATGTGTGGGAAGTGTCTCCGGGTAGACCTGGTTGCCATCCCTGCCACCATAGCCGGTGCGCGTGTTGTTCGCCTTTGTTGCGCAGAACTCCCCCGCGGTTCCCGGCTTGCCGTTGGCATCGAGTCCGGTGAGGATGTCTTTGATGGAAAAGGATGAAAAACTTAATGTCATAATTCAGATAAGAGCACGGGTATTTCCTCACTCTCGCGCGCGATTTCTTGGGAGGCATCAAGAAATCCGCCACTGGAAAGCAAAAACAAGCCCTCACTACTGATTCGCTCTTTTGCGCGTTGTAATTTAATTGCGGCGAACAGTCTAATTTGCTAATGAGCAGCCTATATCAGGATCTGTCAAGACTGTCAAGCAGTATTTCAACTGCAGCTTCAGTTAAGTTGTGATAGGATGTTATCTGTGCCTTCTGGTCCCTCCTTCGCACCGCCCAGCTTTAACGCTGGCCTCTTTGCTCAGTGTCAGTGAAGGACGAAGGACATTGATTCCCAAAGCTACATGGTTTTATTTTTTTTAGCTCTCGGTATGAGTACTGTGATTTAAAAAAAAGTAAAATCAATCTAGTTTAATCTGTAAGAGCCAAAGAAAATAAGTAGAACCTTCTGGTTATTCTTAACATGCTATCTGATACTAAACATGAATCAGACCCATTGGAAAATGTTTTCAGTTATTTTTACGCACAGAGCTGCTTTGTTTGCTTAACAGCTTCTTCTTCTCCTCTTCTTTCTCTTCTTCTTCTTCTTCTTCTTTAGGCTGCTTCCTTTAGGTTTACCAACTATCAGATGTCACGTACATGTGTGAAAACCCGACGGTTTACGTTCACTAAGCGTGCGTAAAAATGCTGCTCAGTTCTGGTTTTCACCTGTGAGTTTGGTTTTAAAGCATTTCACAATGCAGGAATGTGCATTTAAAAACCATAAATAACTCTTTTGAAAATTCAAGTTTACTTTCCACTTGAGTCTAAACTAATCCAAAAAGGACTAGTTTGATTTAAAAAAAAATCTTCCATCTATCCATTCATCCATCCATCCATTCGCTACCGCTTATCCTTTTCAGGGTCGCGGGGGTGCTGGAGCCAATCCCAGCTGTCATAGGGCGAGAGGGTACACCCTGGACAGGTCGCCAGTCTGTCGCAGGGCTTCTTCCATCTATTATTTAGTTTTAATTAAACTAAATGTCCATTTTTTATCATTGCGAATTATGTGACTGATAAAATTGTGCACAATTTGAATCCTAAAGACCTGCATGTTTAAATATTTTATAATAAAACACATCTTCAGTCTAGTGTGAAGATGGACGTCTGCTGGTTCTGCCTTGTTGCTCGAACAGGTGTCTAGCGCCGCCATGTGGACAGGATTCTTGGTCATCGCAGTTACACGTGAGTGAAAATAAAAGACAACAGCTACGCACATGCACATACGCACTCCCATAAAGACCAGGATTACACAATCTACCATTCAGGTGAGGAGATGTACTGACAGATGCGGCGAGCTGCTTCCTCCATGTTTTTTGTTTCTAGTAATTGCAGTAAAATCTCCCTTTGTACCTCAAAGCCAGATTACCCTCCAGGGTGTTTTTAAGTGCCTGGGAGGGATAAATTTAAATTTTTAGCGCAGTTTCCTGTGTCCAAACCACAACATGTCAGTTTCAAAATAGAACATCTGGATCCTGCAAATCAGCTTCGGAATGCAGTTTATTATTCATTTTGCAAAAACGGTTTGAAATCAATGGCGTCATGTTGATTATAATTATGGAGTCTCGCACACGTCATTACACGTGTCTAAATAAAGCCTCGACCCTACTTACCTTTGTCCAGTGAGGAGCATTAAGCGTGAAATTCTGCAAGTGCATATGTTCTACCAAAAGAGATATTTTTGATGAGATTTGGTTTGTGAGGAAAGATTTAGTTTACTGTTGTGCTCACACAGAAAGAGTATAACGTTTGAACTTTTGTGGACTTGTGATCAACTGCCTTTTTCAGTCAAAACCTTTTCTTTTTTTCTTTTTTTTTTTTTAAATATTTAATACTATATCAGATAAAAGCCAGTCAAGTCACGCGGAATTTTGATGACTTATTATTGTTTTACGCTAAACCGAATATTAATGTTCCAGTATTCTTGGTTCCAGTATGCTTGGTAATAGTGCTGTAGACATGAAAACATGTCCTAGCACAGCTGACAGGGTGCAGCCAGAATGAAACCCAATGATAGAGCTTTTATTCCCGCTTTCTTTCCTTCTCTATATTTGGGCCTCGGTTCTATTGTGAGCTCCTTGAGTGTCTGCCTCTAGACACTTTGTTTTAGGAAACTCCACGCCTATACAGCGCAGCGATGAGCCGCTGAGCTGCTATCTTTGGAAGCAGAAGATAGCGATCGCGGCAGTGTCTGTCAGAGAACCCGTGGCCAAGCCGCGTCCTCAGGCATCGCCGTCCTGTCGCCAGCTCTATTTACACTAGTGACTCTGCAGCACTTAGAGCTGACACCAGGTATGTCCTACCGGCAGTGCAGTAGCCGAGGGAAGTGGCCAGTGAGGCTATCAGGGGAGACAAACACGCTGTTTACTTTGCCATTTATCTCCATTAATAGCGTCAGGGTATTCGGCGTGCCTGGTGGGTAAAGGCTTTGCTTAAGTCCATCGCTAAACAACGAAGTGTGTGTGTGTGTTAGAGAGAGTTGAAGAAAGAGTATATATGTGGTCTGGGTTTGCCTCACTGTGAGTGAGTGCAGATCAGTATTTATTATGTAATTATGACATTATTGTAATTATAAATGTGACACAGCTTTAGGTAATCTATTATTATTATTATTATTATTATTATTATTATTATTATTATTATTATTATTATTATTATTATTTAGCAAAAGAAGAGGAGTCGTAAGAGTATGTTCTTACGTCCAATGTTCTTCTCATTTTTATGCTCTGTGGGTCCGGGGATGCTGGCCGTCTGGTTAATGTCCATCTCTGAATCCTGACCGGACATTAGCTCGCCTTTAAATTCTCTCTGTTTCTGGTTCTTGTCTCAAGCCGAAGTCTAGCTCAAGCTTTCTCACACAAGAAAAAAAAAAACGTTTTCTTGGCTTGAGAAAAGATTTCAGACGATAAGAAATGTTGGAATAAACCTCAGTCAACATCATTAAAAAAGAAGAAGAAAAAGAACAGATACACGCACAGATTCACACACAAAGCACACTCCACTTCAATCAGTCGTGCCATGACAGTTATTATGCTCTTTAATTCCACGATCGCTGATAACTTGCATCGTTTTGTGGTTTTTAACTCGAGCCTAGAAACAGCCTTATTTGAGCGCCTCTTTTTTAAATCAGTTCATTGGCTTTCAGTGTCACTCACTTAGTTTTGGAGTGAAAAAACAAAGCCTTAAGGTTAAACCCAAGTCACACAAATTTAAAAAAAAAGAGGGGGGGGGGGGGGGGGGAGCTTAATAGAAATAATACTAAATTGTCCTGCATTTGTGATCCATGTTAATTTCTTGCAACTTTATGCATCCAAATAAAATTCACGAAAGACTTCACTTTCTTAATGAAATCTATAGGTCTTTGCGTAACCGAAAATTTACACGGGATTTTCCTTTATTTTTTAAGCACAATACATCAGTTTTGAACCATTACGGATAGTTTTGGCTAATCCGTCAAACATAACACAACAACTTCACTAAGTTTTCTAAACACGTGGCTCAGAGGGGGGAAAAATTATAATAGATATATTTTATTTCAGTCCATTTTTCTTCATATGCCTGTGGAGTTAGAACAAACTGACCCCTGCGCTCTGTAATGTGTTACGGAATTTGAAATTGTGGTTTTCACGGCATTAGTTGAAGATGTTTACATGCTCGAGTCTATCCATCAAGACAGGCTTCTGATTGTGCGCAAAGACCGCGCTACCATGCCCGGATGCCCTGCAGAGCTCCTTGGCAGGGTGTGACACTTGGTCCTTGGGGAGCCTGGCTTTGCGTCTGTCCGCTAATGTTCCCCAAATTCATATTCATGAAAGCATTGGCAGAGGCGTTGCTGGGCGGGAGAGAAGGGAAACTAGAATAAGTACAAGAGTAAGTGTTGCTATACACCGAGTTGTTATAGCTGTAGGCTGGATAGCCGTTGTAGCTGTACGGATTGGGAGCTCCGACTGTGTAAGGGGGATTATAGTTCTGAGATCCAGCGAGACAAGGCCTCCCGTCTCGGACGAGAACCGGCACAGCCACCCTCCTTGGAGGCGGTGGTGGGTGGTGATGGTGGTGATGATGACCCGCAATCTCCAGGGTCTTGTCCTGCCGCTGCCTCTTGCATTTGTACCTCCTGTTCTGGAACCAGATCTTGACCTGGGTAGAGGTGAGCTTAAGGGAGCTGGCCAGGTGTTCTCTCTCCGGGGCGGACAGGTAACGCTGCTGCTTGAAGCGCCGCTCCAACTCAAACACCTGAGCCTGGGAAAAGAGGACGCGAGGTTTCCGTCTGGTCCTCTGCTGCTTGGTGGCCGGCTTCTCCGAGTCTGGATCCTCACACTCACCCGGCATGACACCGCAGCTCTCTGCATGGAGAAACCATGTTCAATTACACATCAGAGCTAGCATCTTGATTATTTTCAAGTATATATTTATTACAAATTTAATTCTTCTTATTATTATTTATTGTACAAGTGTATTGGAAGTGGTCTAATTGAAAATTGCTAGTAAAATGTATTAAAAAATAAAATTAGGGAGGCATACTAATAATGACGTCATGTTATATACGAACATTAACTAAACGTGAATGTTGATACATTAAAATCAGATGAGGCTAAATATAGTTTCTGTCTTGTGTTTCTGGAAGTGTCTACGTCTTTTTAAATGCGTGACAATTTGGATCATCAGTTTAATATATTCAGCAAACATAAATTAGCAGCTTGCAAATGTAAACACTTTAATCTCCGCCAGTCTTACTCAGTTAGCTGGCAGCTAATGAATTGTATGAAATAATAATCTTTTTGTTGTTGTTGTTCTTTGCCGTCCATTGTTTGGTCCTATTATGAAAATATATATTATGTATATTATTAACCAGGGGCCTATTTTCTTGTTGTCCGTGTTAGGTGATCAATTTATAATAATTTAAACAAAAATCGGAAAACGTTTTTCCAGAAACTGCTCATCAAATGCATTAATGTCAGATTTGATGAGCCGTTTTTTTTGTCTCGTAGGAAACTTTAATTCATATTTTATGATTTGATTTTCTCCTTTGGCATTTTCGTCCATGTGCATTTTTATACAATTAACATCCTCAGAGTAACTCGCTTCAGTAGACTGTGTACTCACTGCCGTCATGCTCGTCCTGCTCTGTCTCCGGCCGGAGGTCTGCAGAGTGGGTTTGCCCCAGGTTGCCGAACACCTCCACGTGGATACCGGAGTCCGTCAGTCGGTCTTGCACATTCAGTGAGTTGAGGTACGCCATCCTCTCCTCGCTCTCCGACAGGCAGGAGCTGATGGGGCTTGGGGTGTCTCTGCCCGCCAGCATGCAGGAGGGCGGCGAGTGAGAACGGAAGGATTTGTTCGACAGA